TATTAAAATGCTCAAATGTAAGATGGGTACACTAAATTTTTTTAATTCGTTGAGATTGATTCGGACCTTTTTCTTTTTATCTCGTACAAAACATACCTAGGCGTTTACTTCATTCTTCCATCTCCTAGTTGAAGTTTACCTCGGTTCTAGTTTGGGAATAACTTTTACCCCGTGTGCTTTTAAGTTACATGTGCATTTTGGAAATGAGCAGTGGAGGTAAATTAATTTTTGGAACCGGTTTGATTTATTTCAGCTAACGCTTCCGAGTCTGACAAAAGAGATCTTATGAAAGAACTGGAAACAATGAAGCAACTGAAACCACATCCTCACGTTATCAAACTTTTGGGATGCGTTATGGAATCCGGTGAGCCAACGATGATTCAACCACCAGTCGTGTCGTACCCACAGCCTTTTCGCACTCATCTAGGTCGTTTCGTGCTCAGGCAGTTGATTCGTTTCGTACTCAGCTCGGTCGTTTCGTACCCAAACTAATAAAGTATGTTTTCCATGTTAAGTTTTTTTAAGATAAGGTCGGTTTCTTATTTTAAATAGCACTATTATCTGCGTTAAATAAGTTCTGTTAATGCAGTGTCCATATTTGAACTGCGACCATCAACTGTGAGGACTGGAACGGAAAATGCGGGGTCGGGGGTCATGGGATCATAGGATAGACGCAAAGAATACTTCATCCAGAAACATTTATACTTTTATTCAGTCCTAGATTATCCTAAATTATAAAATAATATTTATATTATTAAAACATCAGATTTTTACAGGCCATAACTGAATAACTTCTGAGGCGTTTGAACTACTGGTGATAGTAGCGTAGAAAATGAAAATTTAACGGAAACTTTGTAAGCTAAAGCTATTTCTTTTCAGAACCGTTTTTGGTGTTAATTGAATATGTCCCATTTGGAGATTTGTTGGGTTACCTTAGAAAGAGCCGTGGGCTGAATGACACTTACTTCAAAGACCCGGATATCAAACCACAAACAAATCTGACGTCACAGCAATTGATGAAGTTTGCTTGGCAAATCGCTGATGGAATGAGTTACTTGTCATCAAAATCTGTGAGTTGCAGAAAGGTTTTTCCTTGGTAGATTTATAAATCGTGAAAAACTTTTTCCTTTCTCTGCTGCTAATTCTTAGTCACTGTTTAATAAATATGCTGTGGAAAGACAGTAAATGAATGTCCTTTAGAAAGTTTCCTTTGCCCGACTCTATCTCTCGCAAGTGGTATTTCCTGTTAACTAGAGAGGGATTCATTCCTTTAATATATGTCATCTGTTGTAAGGTTTGCTTTAGTTTATTTTACTCTGAAGTTAACATAAGTTCAGCCTTACATCAGAAACCATTCTGTGGTGGAAAAAAAAGATAGTTTGATGTTGTCTTTCTCTGCTTTTTACCTAAGATTAGTGTCAACATATGAACTGCTAACAATCCCGCATTTAGGGACAAAAGCATCAAGCCCGTAATTGGTATTTCTAGGTGTTAAATTTGAATTTCTGATTTCCCTTATGTTTATTCCTCGCTGTAAGATCATCCACCGAGACCTCGCAGCCCGTAATGTGTTGGTTGGAGAAGAAGAAACGTGTAAAGTGACAGACTTTGGAATGGCTAGAAATGTGCAAGAGGAAAATATTTATGAAAAGAAGACAAAGGTAATTGAGAAATAGGCTTAACCTCACCATATAACAGTTATTTATCCTTGTGGGGACAAACGTGTGGGAGGAGAACGTTGTAAAGAATACAATGGTGAATTAGAAAGATGTGTTTTGCATTTTGTTATCTCTATACCAATATTAAAATGATCCCACGCATTCTGCATTTGGTATGAAAGGGTCGCCTTCCAGTGAAGTGGACAGCTTATGAGGCGCTGTTATATGGCAAATATACGACCAAAAGTGATGTGTAAGTCTAACCTCTTTCATTGACTTTGACTATGTTCAATAATTCTAAAAACAGTTATTCAATCGCTATTGTTAAAAACAGTTATGCTGTTGAAAGTTAAACCATACATGACTACATATCTATTTTCTTTTTCAGTTATTCAATTTTTAGAAATGTTTTTATTGTCTCTTAGATGGAGTTATGGAGTTGTCCTCTACGAGATTTTTACAATAGGTAATGCGTCGACATACGATGATAGTTCTCGATGGCGTAGGTTTAGGTAGCAACAGAGAAGGTCTTTCACCCACAACTTTCTGTTTTATGATTAACTTTCCGTCTTAGTTTTAATGGTATTTAGCAGATTGTAGCTTTACAACTGAGCTGGGACTTTTGATTTCAAAGATAAGAATCTCCCAAATAAATCAGAAAAAGTTTGAAAATTTAACGTGAGTTGAATGATTGCTTTTCGGGATGAAGTAGAATTTTCATTCTTTCATTTAGGTCGTAATCCTCCCCTCCCCTACTGCTTACGATAGAGACCGAAAAAACTCCTTCGGGGTTAATGCTTCATCACTTAGTTTCTCTCTGAACTTCGAAATCTCCTCATACTTTTGGGGAATTTTGAAATGGAACCAAAGTAACAGAATCGCGATTTGGAGAAAAAATTCTTGACTAGAATTCTAAAACAGGAAGTTGAGGACATATAAAACCGTCCTGCAATTGACATCAGTGTAAGAACCTCTTAAGTTTTTGTACGATTTCTCACTTTTATTTTCCTGGGCTCAATATTTATGATTTCTTCGTTCTTCGCCATTCGTGAACATAACAGGTGAACACCAAGGATGAGCTCCACCTTTGTTACTGCTAAAATGCTGTGGAACGCTTTATGCATCTCGGAAACCATTTCATATCCAAGTCACTTACTACAATGTACTTCCTTGATGCCTCTTTTGCTATCTTTTAGTTAATTTTGTAAAACATCTTTTACAGTTTCCAATCAGGACTTCTTTTATAAATTTACATTTTTATCAGTCTATTCAGTGAAAGAAATACCCAAAAAGCATTTGAATGAGTATATTGCCCCTTATAAAAGACCTTTGCTGTTGTTATAAGTTAATTAATGTCCACGTCTTTCATTAAAAGCTTTTCTCCTTTCAGGTGGTTCGCCTTATCCACGGATGGATGGCAAGAAAATTGCAAACTTACTTCAGCAGGGATACAGAATGCCCAAACCTCAGCACGTGGATGATAAGCTGTAAGCTTAATTTTAAAACTGTCAAATTAACAATTTTGTAACTGTACCATGGAGTGGTGGAATTATGTTTTCTAGTTTAAGTCGTTCTCATCTCTTGTACCTTAAAACCTCTAGCTCCTGATGATTGTTGCATGCTGAAATATCAAATCATGTTTTTATTTTCCATTGGGAGTATAGAAATATGAATGTTTTTTATAGATATTTTCATCTAAAGGTCGTAGGTGACGGCAAATTGAGCTTCCCAAGCCAAGAAAGACTTCATCGTGCAATCTCATAACACGCGTATGTTTGTCAATTGGTTATATACTATTTATGATGTGAAAGGATTTACCTGAATCATGATTTCGTAATCTTAAGGTATGAGATAATGATGAAATGCTGGCAAGATGACCCCAAGAGGAGACCGACATTTATCGATCTAAGAAATCAGTTGAAAGGCATGGAAACATCACATAAGGTGGAACTACTCTATTTGTCTACCTCATAAATAAATTCATCTTTGAAAAACCTGTCGTTAACTCACCTGAAAGGCAGATTTCCTGCCAATTTCTACGACTAGAATTCAAAAAGAAGTCTTAAAAACAAGTCTGGTGTAATCGGTTTGTATGCCTTTCCTGTTTTCGTCCGCAGAGGCTGATCAACATGAGGATGTACGACAACAAGTTATATGGAAACATTGAAGATTTGGTCGAATAGACAACTAGCGAAACGTCATTATCGTTGATGGAAGCGTATACTTTTAAGTTTACCCATTTTTAAAAATTTTTTTTAATCCATGATACTCCCTTACACTAAGCTATAAAATGCGGGGCAAGAAGATAGTATGTAAAAAAATGCGGCCTTTCAAAAGCCATTGAGGTAAATAAATGCATTCGATCTTTTTGGGTTCAGATTTGAATAACTACTGTCAAAATTGTCACTTTTTCATAATCATTTCCCGGGACATATTTTGGTAGTTTGTAGTGAGACATTCAGATGATTTATCACTTTATATAAATATCAGGTCTCTTTTGCCTTTCATCATCCAGTTTCGCGGCCACATAGAATTTTGAATATAATGTCAATTATCCAGTGTCTCCTTATTTGCTGAAAGTTCATGCCCTGTAGGTTGACTGATAATAATGCATTTGTTACAAGAAAATGGTTTGTAGTTGTTTCGTGCAGTGTAGTGATAAGTGTAATATTAAAATTCATGGTAGTGATAGATCTCTGTTTGACAGTAATACTTATGAGATCTGTTGTTAGTTCAATCTCTTCGCTATCAACACTGGTAATGAATTATCAAATTGCAAACTTAAAGGCAAGGTAATAGATTACAGAAAAGGCGAAAAAAAGGAGGATGCATTTACACACAGTTTGAAACTAGAATTCTTTTACCTCTCAATAATATTATTCAACTATGTTAACCCGAATCGGGTGGGAGAGGCCCATTTTCCGTGATTCAACATGTTCATATAATTTGGAAATGTAATTTGTAACTCAATTCGATTATCGATATTAAGCTTACAATCAGCGCGCGTTAAAATTAGTCCTATTTATGCGTACAATACTACACTCTAAATCATCAACAAGACCTCCCTCCCCCATTCAACTGTTGCCTGTAGCTTATGGTTCATGGAATCACGATACAACATTTATTTGGGGAAAAGGGGACAAATAGGTTAACTAAACGAGGGCAAAAGAGATAAAATTGAAAAAATAGGGGGTTGGAAAGGTTAATGTGTCAACAATTTTATCACCGATTATAGCTCAGGCTCATTACTTTTCGTTGCCCATCTCTGATCACGCAAGTAGAGCCTTGCCTTAAATGAAAAGGCTCAATTCTAATTCTACCTTTATTTAATTCGGCACTAATACTCAAGAAATTCTTTTGCGGTTAATTTTCTTGAAACAAGAACCTCTAACTCATATCTCGGAAAATACATCAACATGGATATGATAGAACGATATACCTTCTTTACATTTCACTGCATGGTATCCTTGTGGACAGTATGCTTCAACGTACCTTTTAAATGAACCCTGTTTGACATGTGGCATTGTTCTAACAGGGACAGGTTTGGTAAGAATTCTGGTCAGAGGAGAAACCAACAAAATTAGGCAATAAGATACCATTTTTTGGCAATGCTTTCTAAATCAATTGAGATTTATCTCATAATATCATATTTGAAATATTATTTATCTTTACACGTTTACTATTTATCTTTTTGTCCTTGAAATTATTTGAGAGAAGATCTAAGAGTAGTAATGGTAGGCGTGCGATTCAATTTATCTCTTAAAGTCAAAGTTTACCAGGAGAGCTTAAGGGAACAAGAAAGAAATTGATAAGAAGAAACCACTAAGTCTTCAAAATGCTGGTAAGTGGACGAGATCTTGCAAAACGTCTCCTGATGTGGGGTCAGTTTCGATAAAGTGGGGGAACTGAAAGCTGACCAAGTCGACCATTAAGTGATGATATAGCCGGCGGCTTTTTACACAAAAAACTCTCATCCGTTATTTTTATCGTTAATTTGATAGGCAAACTAAAAGGCAAAATGTAGTAACCAAATTCGTAATAATTTAATAATTTAATAATAATAATTTATTTACTTATATAGCGCCATTTAACATTTATGGGATGATCAAAGGCGCTTTACAATCCAAGAAAACTAATATTACAATAGATAATTACAATAAAAATGCTATTTACAATAGATAATTATAATAACAATACTAAAATAAAATAATGATAGTAAATGAATACATAATGAAAGAATGAATGAATAAAAAGTAAATAAATAAGATACAAAATACCGATAAGATTGTAATGCGAATCTAAAACGCTTGCTTATAAAGATAGCTCTTAAGAGATTTCTTAAATAGCAAATAATATACAAGAAAAAAATTTATTCAAAAATTTGCATCAGATACTACTGTATTCCAAAGCGCAGGCGCAGATTCCATTTTGAAACGACTTCTCAAACCAAAACGTTACCCCCGGTTAACCATTTTGGTTTTTCATAAAAATCCGAATTGTATCCACATTGCGTGATGATTTACTTTAGACGATGATTTGGGAGGTACATAATCAAATCAATGACTAAGATTTAAATAATTTATCGAAAATTTTTTAATGTTTAGGTAACTGAAGTTTTTTTCAAGACTGTTTCCCAAGTGGTTGATACAATCACCTCAATACGGGGTTCGTTGTTCAATTGTAAACTGCAGGTAATAAAACACTTATGGTGTTCATCAGCCCTCGTGCTTATTTAGCCAAAATTTTCAGAAATTGAAAAAAAAAATGAATCAGTACGGTTCCGTGTAAATCACCGAGGAGTTATCTTTGCCCCAGAATTAAGCGTCCGTCATATCACAGTCAAATACCAGCCATGCAATAAATGAGTGATAATATGACGATGAAAAAAAATTTATTATGAAAATTTTTATGTTTTAAGATAATAACGTATACCCAAAGAACTTTGCCTGTGAAGGATATTATTCATCTGCTGGTCAAAACCACGCAATTTACATATGACGAATTCCAGTTTTTTTATCGACTGTCATTCAAACATGGTAAAACGTGGTTCAAAACCCCATCGGTTAAACCATTTAAACGATAAGTTTTTCATCTTGTATCCGAGCGCCTCTTGTCGCATTTGAATTCAGTAGAGCCGTCGATCCTTTCGATGAAAATAACATTTAGTCGATTTCTGTGTGGATTCAGGGTAATTTAGAGACAAGTGGCTAACGGATCTAAACACCACTAATTTCCAAAAAGACATCCAAAATTCAGTATTTTTCGAGGTTTTTTCTTTTTCAGAGCTGTATATTAGCCTCCTCTATTGTTGTTTTGGTAGCGAAAAACCCTCCCAGTACGCAAGCCATAGTTTCGATAGGGAATTTTCAGTATAAAACGGGGCTCGCGTTTGATTGGCTATATATGTCTGGGTTTCTCCGACAACTGACCGAAATGCAAGTTCAATTTTTTAACTTTCTCGTATCGAGTTAAGCCTTTCTACAGTGAATTGCTTAGTTTTATTTTTGCTTGGAAACTACTTTTCTCTTAGGCAATCAGAATTAAGAAAATTCATCTTGTATGAAGTTTCAATACGTTTACAAAGGCGTTTTTGCGAAATGTTTGAAAGATAGTTAGTCGTGCTCTTTGAAACATAACAATATAAACCGATTTAAATCTATACATATCTGTCTACTTAGAACTCTAGTGAACTTCACAGAAATTATATTTCTGAGTTATTTATCCTATCAGCTACAGTTTGGTAGCGATAAACTGAGTTATGTACATTCTATTGCTGGCTGATGCTGAAATTGCTGAACTGGATGATATTTCGGAAACCATTTGTAACCAAAACTCCGCCACTGACTTTTGTACTGAAATGGGCTGAATATGACTTCATAAGAGTGTCCTTGTAGTATATGGTGACGTTTCTATTCAAATCGATTTGAACTCGAACGTTGAACCATTTACCACTGTTTGGAGTACCGCCAGGACAGGAAGCAGTGTTGGTATAATAGTTGTTCCCATTAGAGGAATAACCCACTTGATAACAGTTATTTGAGCCACTTGGCAACCTGCACATAGTAAGAGAGTAAAATATCGCAATGTATCGTTCAAAATTATATAAACCAACTATCAGATGCTCCACAAATTCTCCCCTTCCAGATTAGTCAGTGACGATTGCGTGAAAAGGATATTAAAAGGGACTGAACTTCAAGCTTTTCATGACAAATGAGTAAAATTAATGTTAATTAAGATTAACGTTAATTGGTAGAGCATCGGAGCGCGGAATCCGAAGGTCTGAGGTTCGATTCTTCATGGGGATGCAGAATTTTTTTCTTTGTCCCACGCTCGTGACAAGACGGAAAAACATCTTTCTCTAGGATTAAAATGTCTGTCAAAACTATTTCATAAAATGGTATTTCAGAAAGCACACAAGTATTTGACAAACTATTGAAACATTTTTGGAGTAATGTGTAACGAGGACGTACAATGTGGCGCTACAAAGTGACTTTGTTGAGAATTTGTTGCACAATTTTTGTGACTTGTTTTCACCCATGATGCTTTGAAAGTTTCTCTAAACGAACTTGCTTACGGCTCCATCACCTATGCCAATAACCTTACTTGCTGCAGTAGTCTCACTTGTTCAGTACCGGACAGGCCACATCAGCATAATGATTTATCTTTAAGTAACTGAACATGTAGTATTTGATAGGTTTATAAACAAATCAATGACTAAGATTCTCAGCCGAACTTCACCTTCTCTTATTTATCGACGCAAAATTACATTTAATATTTATCATGTTACTGACAGTTTCCTTCTTCAGAGTTTACCTTTTTTTTAAATTCATTTTTGGCTGTTTCCTTCGTCCTTGCCGATACAATGTACACTGTGGGTACTTCAATACTGTAACTTCGCCGTTCACCGAAATGTAAACTGCAGGTAATATAATTAACACTTATGGTGTTCATCAGCCCTCGTCGGCTTCTTTCCCCCGAATTTTCAGAAATTGAAAAAAAAAGCCGCCGTCCTTTCTTGATCTTTTGTCTTCTTCTTTGTATCCGTGAATCAATACGGTTCCGTATAAATCACCGAGGAGAAATACCCCAGAATTAAGCGTCCGTCATATCACAGTCAAATACCAGCCATGCAATAAATGAGTCATAATCCTTGACGATGAAATCGCGCGTGGATCGTTAATCACTTAAGCGATGCTTATGATGAGATTTTATGTTTTAAGATAATAACGTAATGCTACCATGTTTACACATTTAAAAAGGGCCTCATTAAACGCTGAGGGGCTCTTAGTTGAACGAGTTCGTAAACCTCAAAGATATCTTACCTGAAATAAACAAAGTCAAAGTTGTCTTCGTCAACAACGTTGTAGATCACTCCAGGATGTCCCCAATACACAATACCTGGTCTGACCGTATTTAACAGCTCGATGTCCAGTACGTACGGACCGACTGCTTTGATGTCTTGTTCAAAAATAACGCGACAGAAGCCACTGTTGGGCCAGACGCCATGATCAGCATTTACAACATGGACTGTACCTTCCTCATTTGGATTTACATCAACACAACCTACATCAACTGTGAGCAGGGTTAT